CAGATTCCTTCTACTTGAAGAGCACCCTTCAGTGTTCCCACTGGTGAGGTACTGCTGGAAGTTTGTTTCTCTGAAAATATTTTGCCCTCATTTTTATTTATTTATTTTTAATATTAACTTCAGTGAGGTATAACTTACATATAGTATAACACACCCATTTTATGTAATTTGATGAGCTCTATTATATACCTCCTTGAAACAATGACCATGATAAAGTATAGAACAATTTTACCACCTCCAAAAATTATTTTATGTTCTTTTTTGATCAGATTCCAGACTACTTTTGTGCTTCCTGTCTCAGTTTTGCTTGTTTTACAAATCATACTCTTTTTTGCCCAGCTCTTTTTTCAATCATCATAGTTTTTTGAGACTAATTCATTTTGCTAAGTTTATTTCTTTTATTGCTAAGTGGTACTTTCTTCTATGGATATTCCACAATTTTTTAATTCATCTCCCTGTTGATTTGTATTTAAGCTATTTCCAGTAGTAATGGACTTTAATGAGTAAAGTTGGTATTAACATTCTTGTTAAAGTCTTTTTGTGGACATATGTTTAATTTTTGTTAAATAAATACATGAATGGAATAGATGAATTGTTGGCAGTATGTATGTATAACTTTATTAGAAACTATCTATCAGTTTTCCAAAGTGGCTGGTTTATTTTACACTCAGCAGAAATATATGAGAATTCTAGTTGCTTCACATCATAGTCACAATCTAGCATGGTCAGTTTCTTTAATTTTAGCATTCTAGTGGGTTTGAAGTAGTTTACATTTGCATTTCCCTTATGTGTATTGATGTCGAGCAACTTTTTATTGGTTTATTGCATCTTCTTTTGTTAAGGGTCTTTTGGAATCTTTTGCTTATTTTCCTTAAATTGAGATGTTTGTTTTCTTTGAATTGAGTTGAAGGAGTATTTAGTGTATACACATATATTTAAAAAACAGCCCTTTGCAATATATATATATTCATATATATAACATATGTTATATATTTATAAACATATATATGGCAAACTGTAATTTTTTTTTTAGATTTTATTTATTTATTTGACAGAGAGAACACAAGCAGGGGGAGAAGGAGAAACAGGCTCCCTACTGAGCAGAGAGCCCAACGTGGGGCTTGATCCAGGATCCTGGGATCATGACCTGAGCTGAAGGCAGATGCTTAACTGACTGAGCCACCCAGGCCTCCCCTGTAATTTTCCTGATAGTGTCTTTTCATGAAGTATAATTCATCACTTTTTTCTTTTTTGTTTAGCTTTTTGTATGTGTGTGTACATGCATGTGCATGTATATGTTCTAAGAAACCTTGGCTTATCCCAAGGTCACAGAAATATAATCCAATTATTTTTTAGAAGCATCATTGTTTTATCTTTTATATTTAAATCTAAGATCACCTCAAATTAATTTTTATATGGCATGAGGTAAAAATTGAAGTTCATTTTTTTATACCATTATTCAGTTTCCCAGCATCATTTATTAAAGAGAATTTTATTTCCCACGGAATTGTTTGGTTCCTTTGTCAAAATGAACTGACCATACATGTGTGGGTCTATCACTGGATACTATTTTCTAATCCACTGATCTACTTGTAGAAGCAAACCACAGTACCATATTGACTTAATTACTGCAGCTCTGCAATCATGAAATCAGACTTGTATTTGTAGAGCAAATGTTTTTGGTTTTGATGTACTTCAATTTGTTAATATCTAAGTTTTATGCATCATGCTTTTGGTTTGTATTTAAAAGGTCTGCCTAACCTAAGTTTACATAAGTTTTCTCATTTAAAAGGTCTGCCCAACCTAACTAACCTAAACTTGTAAACCTAAGTTTACAAAAGTTTTCTCCTATGTTTTATTCTTTTTTTTAAAGATCTTATTTATTTATTCATGAGAAACAGATTGAGAGAGAGAGAGGCAGAGGCAGGTTCCCCTTGGAGCAGGGAGCCCGATGAGGACTTGATCCCAGGACCCTGGGATTAGGACCTGAGCCACACAGACGCCCCTCCTATGTTTTATCCTAAAAGTTTTATAGGCCTAGCTCTAACATCAATTTTAAGTTAATTTTTGCATAGGGTGTGAAATAATGGTCTAAAGTCAATTTTATTTATGTGGATATCCAATTTTCCCAGCATTATTTGTTAGAAAAATGAGACATCATTCTTCCCACTGAATTAACATGATACCTTTTTTGAAATCAGTTAACCATGAATATTAGTGCTGATTTCTGAACTTCAGTTGTGTTTCACTGATTCATATATGTCTATCATTCTGTATCACACTATTTTTTTTGTAGTGTTCCATGATTCATTGTTTGTGTGTAACACCCAGTGCTCCATGCAGAATGTGCCCTCTTTAATACCCATCACCAGACTAACCCATCCTCCCACCCCCTTGCCCTCTAGAACCCTCAGTCTGTCCCTCAGAGTCCATCGTCTCTCATGGTTCGTCTCCCCCTCCGATTTCCCCCCCTTTATTCTTCCCCTCCTGCTATCTTTTTCTTTTTTTTTCTTAACATATAATGCATTATTTGTTTCAGAGGTACAGATCTGTGATTCAACAGTCTTGCACAATTCACAGCGCTCACCATAGCACATACCCTCCCCAATGTCCATCACCCAGCCACCCCATCCCTCCCACTCCCACCACTCCAGCAACCCTCAGTTTGTTTCCTGAGATTAAGAATTCCTCATATCAGTGAGGTCATATGGAGTATCACACTATTTTGATGAATGCAGCTTTCTAGCAAGCATTACATTGGAAATGTAATTTTCCAAATTTGTTCTTATTTTTTTAAATTCTTTTAGTTATGCTGGGTGCTTTGCCTTTCTATATACATTTTAGGAATATTTTTCATTTCCTGCAGGAAAGCTTCTAGGATTTGATATGGATTGCATTGAATACATAGATCATCTCTTCACCTAAAAAAATTCTTCTCTTGCTGGATTTTAGTTCAGCTGGTTCTCCTTCCTTGCACAGCTCTGTGATGTATTTAAAACACAATTTTGATAATTTTTTACCCAATCCCAGTTGTTAACAGGAAGAAATCTTGCTTTTTCAACCTGCTACATTGTATTCATTAATGTAAGTTCTTGCAGGTTAACTCTGAAGCATGGAATAACACAGGATCAAATGAGTAACAGTTCTCCATGCCTGCTCTGTACCAGACAGGTAAAAGGGAAAGAACTTAATACAAATAATGTAATAATTTCTCACAAAGACGACCTGAGGAAGATACAATCATCTGCATTTTATTTGATGATTTGAGTGAGGCAGAGAGTAATTTTTTTTTTTAAAGATTTTATTTATTTATTTGAGAGAGAGAGAATGAGAGAGAGAGCACATGAGGGGGAGAGGGTCAGAGGGAGAAGCAGACTCGCTGACGAGCAGGAAGCCCGATGTGGGACTCGATCCTGGGACTCCAGGATCATGACCTGAGCTGAAGGCAGTTGCTTAACCAACTGAGCCACCCAGGTGCCCCCAGAGAGTAATTTTTTTAAAAAAAGATTTTATTTATTTGAGAGAGAGAAAGCGAGAGACAGAGGAAGAGCGGAGAGGGAGGGACAGAGGGAGAAGTAGACTCCCCTCTGAGCAGGGAGCCTGATGCAGGGCTTGATCCCAGGACCCTGAGATCATGACCTGAACCAAAGGCAAATGCTTAACCCACTGAGCCACATGGGTGCCCTGACAGAGAGTAATTTTGAAATAGATTAGAAACATATGATGCAAAGAATCTGGGTTTTCCTTCCTGGCAGTCCAACTCTAAGATCCTCTGCTAAAAATAATTATATTACAGTATAAAAACTGAAACTGAATAAAATCTAAGGGTAGAGACTAATTTTAACATCTATTAATCTTAAAATATTAAGAAATCAAAAATGAATTAAACAGAATATTTACAGATAGAGAAGTCCAGACTTTACAGTGGAAGCCCATGTTCTTTTAAGTTTCCAAGGGATATTTAGAAAATTTCTGAATGTTTTAATTAAATGATATTTAAATATTAAATAGACTCAAGAGAGAAACTTTATCAAAGGCTTAAGCATGAGAGATATGTTTAATAACTACAAATAATGGGCTGAAAAGCCTGACTGAGACAAAAGATGGATTTAAACCTGGATGAACTCCCTGAAATTCATTTTCCATTTTGAAAATTATAGGACATAGGTGCCTGGCTGGCTAACTCAGTAGAGCATGTGACTCTTGACCTCAGGGTTGTGAATTTGAGCCCCACATTGGGCAAAGAGCTTACTTTAAAAAGAAGAAAATTACAGGACAATAAGTTCTCTATTAAAGAAGTGTGGGTGTGTGTGTGTGGATGTGCGCTTATGCATTTGTAAACAATAGAAGTATGCATAAGTGTTAGTTATTGGCAACCAGCTTTTGGGAAGTATTGGCATTCCCCCCAAACCCTTGATGTTTTGATAGGAGAAGCTTGAATTCTTTCTACATAATTGTGACATTAAAAAGAAATCCATAAACCTTAAAAAAATAAGTCCATAATGATGACAATCTTACTTATGGCTAAGCTTTATCTAACAATTAAGATACTCACTGTATATTCTGTGTTTTGGGTTTTTCAATTTTACTCTGAAAAATAGCGTCGATGAACACAAATTATGAAGAGGTTAAACAAGGAAAAAATGGCAAACCACTGAAAGACAATATGGCTTTATTTGCACGCTAGCAAATGAGAATTTAGCTTTCGCTTCAGCATCCATTATGAGTATTCCAGCCTACAGCAAGGACATGAGGTATATAAATAGAAGTTAATTTGAGCTGTTTGAGGAATAACTATGGTTTTCATCCAGACAGCATTGAGCTCATCTATTAGCATACCCTGGTGCTTTCCTGCTTGACATTGGTCACAGAATTTAAAAGAAACAAGAACTTTACTTTCACACTCAGAAATCAGCTGCCTATAGAACGTAAGGTCCGAATATTCAAGGAATCTCCACCAGTGACATTAGACTTAGCTTTTTGGTTTTTTCTTTCTAGACATGGTAACTTTACTACCGGGCATTTTTTCCATCCTAGTAATAACAGAATTTGTTCTAGGAAATTTTGCCAGTGGCTTCATAGCAGTGGTGAACTGCATTGTCTGGGTCAAGAGACAAAAGACGTCCTCAGCTGATCAAATTCTCACTGCTCTGGCGGTCTCCAGAATCGGTTTGCTCTGGGTAATGTTAATAAACTGGTATGCAACTGTGTTGAATCCAGCTTTATATAGTTTAGAAGTAAGATTTCTTGTTCATTTGCACGGATGGTAAACAATCATTTTAGTATCTGGCTTGCTACTAGCCTCAGCATATTTTATTTGTTCAAAATAGCCAATTTCTCTAACCTTATTTTTCTTCGCCTGAAGTGGAGAGTTAAAAGTGTAGTTCTTGCGTTACTGTTGGAGTCTTTGTTCTTTTTGGTTTTTCATGTTGCAGTGCTAAGCATATGTGAGAAAAGCATACATGAGAAAAATTCCTTCATAAGCAAGATGAAGGAATACGAAGGAAACATCACTAAGCAGACCAAATTGGGGAACATTGTAAGCCTGTTGAATATGACTGTATTCACGCTAGCAAACTTTGTGCCCTTTGCTATATCCCTGACATCTTTCCTGCTCTTAACCTTTTCCCTGTGGAAACATCTCAAGAAGATGCAATCCAGTGGTAGAAGATCCCAAGATCCCAGCACCAAGGTCCACATAAGAGCCATGCAGACTGTGATCTCCTTTCTCTTGTTATTAGCTGGTCACTTCCTGACTCTAATTGTCACAGTCTGGAGTTCTAATGGGCTGCAGAACAAACTATTCTTCATGCTTTGCCAAGCTTTTGGATTCTGGTATCCTTCAAGCCACTCATTTATCCTGATCTGGGGAAACAAGAAGCTCAAACAGGTCTTTCTGTCTGTTTTATACCAGGGGACGTGCTGGCTGAAAGAACAGAAACTCTCAACTCCATAGATCAGTAAGAGGTGGCATTGTGTATGTTCTAGTAGAAAGTTACCTGATGTAGGTTAATATTTTATACCTCCTACTGGTTCTTCCATAGTGTATGTAATTGAGTAATTTTCAGAGTTTTACTCAGAAAAGACTTACCTAAGCTTATCACATGAAAGTATATACATATATATATATGAAAAATGTAAAAAAGATTGGAAATAATATACCCTCACCAATTTTTTCAGGTAAACAATCTAATTATACATAATATTATAAGAAATTCCAGAGAATTATGAAGCCATGTGTATTTCACATACATATTCTATGTATCATCTTCCAATTAAAAATTTATGATCTACCTTTATGCATTTTTCAGAATTGACAAGTTATCTTGGGATGTCATTGCTATTTTTCATTGTAATTTGTATCACAGTGTGCTTAGATTTCATTGTTTGAATCTCCAGTCTTTTCCATGGTCAGGACAGTCAATTCTAAATCACACAGTGAGGATGAATGTTTGGGGTAGATATTATTCCATCATAAATTCTTACCTCATGGTTAATAGCAGTTAGGGCTATGATTAAGAAAGGTGTACACAGTGTAATTCATAAATGACAAACATATTGCAAGTAAATTTTATATATGTGTACAGTAAACTCTACTGAAGAATACTTAAAGAAGTAAGTGAAAATTTTAGAAAAAACTGAGTTCTACAGCAGAGATAAAGAAGAAAGAAACATGCTCATGACCTCTTTTTAATGCTGTTGTAAGTTTCCTTATACAGTTAGGGAAGTGATTTCTTCTAGTTTTTGATTGAAGACAGACCCATTTTTAAAATTAAGATCTGATTTCAAATATTTCAGTTTTCTCTTAAACCACCTCTGGGCCTCGAATCGCCAAACATCTCAAACACCTTCTGTTTTTAAAATTCTTTTAAAACTTCAGTAAAGAAGACTCAAATCTTCCCCATTGAAAAAATACTCATGATTAGAATAGTAAAGAAATTATGGTATATAATTCAATAAACCTTTCTGCATACATTAAATGGCATCTGTTAAGTCCATGTAATCATCATAGGGGATTTCTTTTTTTTTTTATTTGAGAGAGAAAGACACAGTGAGAGAGGGAACACAAGCAGGGGGAGTGGGAGAAGGAGAAGCAGGCTTCCCGCCGAGCAGGGAGCCCGATGCGGGGATCCATCCCAGGACCCTGGGATCATGACCTGAGCCGAAGGCAGACACTTAATGACTAAGCCACCCAGGCGCCCCCATAAGGGATTTCTTAAAGAGATGTTTCATTATAATCTTTTGAAAACAATGAAATGGGAGAATGTGTGTTGGCATATTCATTGATAGCAAGCTCTATTATAGGAAAGAAATGTGTAATGTTGTCCAACAACCGAATTCTACATGACTGTTAAGTATTGGTGTTAGGCGATTTAACAGTTTTCTACATCTTAAGATAAATCGTCTCCACATCTGCTATTTTTATCATCTGTCTCTCCTGGTATAACATACACTTCGAAAAAGTGAAGATCTTATTTACTGCTGACTCCTAAAACCTATAAGCCAGCCATATAAGAGTTGATCAAAAATAATTTTTTAGGGGCGCCTGGGTGCCTCAGTCAGTTAAGCATCTGCCTTTGGCCTGGGTCCTGATCTGAGGGTCATGGGATGGAGCCCTGAGTGGAGTTGGGCTCCCTGCTCAGTGGGGAGTCTGCTTCTTCCTCTTGCTCTGTTTTCTCCCCCCTGCTCGTGCTCTCTCCCTCTCTCTCTCAAAAATAAATAAATAAAATCTTTAAAAACTGTTTTTTTTTAATGAATAAGTAAATGAATGAATGAATGAGTTTTAGGAAAGCTGGGAAACCAATGAAAATAAAATGTATCACAAAACCTGCAGATGCCATGAATTCTCAGCTCTGGTTTCACATCAAGGTGACAGGCTTATCCAAGAAGAAGCATTTCTCAGAGCAGAAGACGGCTCTTCCATAATTCTAGGGAAAATATCACTACAATATAACGTTGGCACGGCCATTTCATATGTGTGAAGTGGAAACAGGGTGAAACGCCAGAGTTAGGTGGCATCTATCACAATAGTTTTTAAAAAGCATATAAAAGATTCTGTACATTTGTATATGTATTTTCTCTATTGTAAATGTTATCTTTTTACATGATTTTTTTCTAGCGGGGTATTGTATAAACAAAAATTGTATTTGATTTATTAAAACTGAGTAACTGCTTTACTAACTCAGCTGCCTTACTAAAATGTTATTTTTGATATAATATTTTGTATCCTTTCCAAATACAATTTTTATTGTTATTATTATAAACTCACATAAAGTAAACAAATAATAATTGTATAACTCAATGACTATCTTAGCCTGGAGCCTCTAAAACCAAATCAAAGTCAGGGCTCAAAATGATGACATTTGTTCGGGAAGGTTGAGTCTGGGACAGCAATAGGGAGAACATATGGAAATGAGGCAAGAGAAGATGTGCTGTGTTGTGTCACTCTGGTAGCTAGTCTCTTACAACGTGTTGCACATTGGCACACAAATTTTCCAGGAGGGTTCTTTTTTTTTTTTTTTAAGGTTTTATTTATTTATTTGAGAGAGAGAGAGAGAGCATGAGAGAGTATAAGCCGGCAGAGAGGCAGGCAGAGGAAGAGGGAGGAGCAGGCCCCTCTCTGAGCAGGGAGCGCGATGTGACACTCCATCCCAGGACCCTGGGATCACGACCTGAGCTGAAGGCAGGCAGCCAAGGTCAGCTTACCTGACTGAACCAGTCAGGTGCCCCTCCAGGAGGGTTCTAAGGAGGAACCACATGTAGCATTAGTCTATGGAAGAGAGAGAGGAGCGGGGAGTGTATCTAATCAGCTCACTCCTGTCTTCTATTTCCTATTGGCCAGGGTTCACCAAAGTGGGATTAACACCTCTGCTCATCTTGCCCCTTGGTGGTCATTTTGAAAGTCATATTTCATACCCCACAATGTAGTGTTGCTTTCAAATCCAAAATGGAGGGATAATCTGGCTCAGGCATGGTGCTGACCAAAAGAATAGGAAACGGTGAAGGGAATCTGACAAAGCACACAAGTTTGTGTCCAATACAGTCCACCCTTGTGTCACTCACATGTACTCATGCCCTCCAGTCATGGCAGCTTTTTGAATGTACATGCCTTGTGCAGTGGCACAGGGCTTCTCGTTAGAGGGGTCTTACGCTTGGTTTAACATTGTGCTCTTGCCATTTTGTTTTTCAAACAGATGAATTAATAAAACAATTTTAGAAATTTGTCAGAATCATGAAGCTGTTTAATTCCAGTTAGCCTTTCTATATTATTAGTTTCACAATCAAGAATTCTTGGATTGCATTTACCATTATTAAGAATATATAATTTGTATTTAGAAATAAATTGTATTTGCCAACATAGCTTTTAAATATGTAACACAATACATTTTAATTTTAATGTGTAAGAATACCAAATCTTGGCTGATTGGCTGATGATAGTCTTTTTTTTTCTTAAAGATTTTATTTATTTGTCAAAGAGAGAGAGAGAGCATGAGAGAGAGAGAGCACAAACAGGGGGAGCGGCAGCCAGAGGGAGAAGCAGTCTCCCTGCTGAGCAAGGAGCCTGATACAAGACTCAATCCCAGGACCCTGGGAACATGACCTAAGCCGAAGGCAGACGCTTAACCAACTGAGCCACCCAGATGTCCCTGATGATAGTCTTTTAATTGTACATAACTTAAGGGGAGATTGGTATTTTTGTTATATTTTATCAAGTACCTCTATTTTGCTGGTGAATGGAAAACAACCAGATTATAGTACAGAAATTTAGAATAACTCCTGAGTAAGTAACACATAATTAATATGAACTTTAAATACGTTTATATGTTATTAATATTGGTTGTATGACAGCAATGAAAGCTACCTAGGTGAAAAATTTAGAATAAATTAAGTTCAAGGGGTGGAGTAAAGAGCGATAATCATGATCATGTGTCCTGTGTTCAGTATCGTTAAATCTTGAGTATGATAGAATCTGTTTATTTTTTGATTAACATAACAATAAAAAATTAAAAAAAGACAAATACAAAAAAAAGAATCTGTTTATTTTTACAAATGAAGAATTCTTGACTCATGGCTTACATTCACAAAGAAATCTCTTCAAAATACCAGCTTTGTATTTGAAATAGATTTTCTTGTCCTCCTGATGAGGATCATTCATTCATTCATCTATTCATTGAATAAATATATGTTGGACATCTTTTTTAGGTGCATTTTGGAGACATTTTAATAAGAAACATTAGCTGCAAAATAAAATGAGAAGTGAGCATATGTAACTGGTAGCCACTAAAAAGAGGAAGTTGTGATATTTATGTGTCAGTTATTTTGTATACTTCATTACTTGTTAATACTTCACATGTGCATAATACTGTTTCTCATGTGAAGAAACTGAATTCTTGAGACATTACACGACTTCCCCAGGAGTGCATGAGGTTGCAAGGACAGAGCTAGGGTGGTCCCTAGTAGAGTGAGGCTACTCCCCAAACTCAGTCAAAATATCAACAGGAACAGGCTGCTTATAACCACATCTGGAATCTAGTGGAAAAAGCATATTCAAATATGTAAATTTGGTGCTTATATTAATTGTTCTTAATTTTATCTGTGATATTGAGTACCTGGTTAATGTGTCTACAAAAAGTTCATTGTTTTTATTTGCTTGTTTGTTGAGTTAGAAGCCAGTTGCCTTACTAAATTGTCACATGTGCTCTTTTAAGGCTCATTCTCTTGACTTTTGCAGATAGAAAATGATATCATGTGCATATAATGATTGTTTTACTTCTTCTTCTTATTTATAATAATAATTATTAGTTTTGGTGTTGGCTTGTGTTATGAAATGCCTCCAACATTCAAAGTGTTAAATAGTTGTGGTGATAACTGGCATCTTTGTATGTAAATGGAGAGTCATCTAGTGTTTAGCTTTGGGGTAAAAACTTTTAAAAATGTCTTTAAAGACAATATTTC